AATTTGCTTCAAAACTGTCCATGAGTGGAAGAAAATTATAATAATAACTTCTAAAAAAAAAAAAAAGAAGGAAAAAAGCGCCGTCTATCACGCGAGGCAATGAAATTCAGCGAAAAAAGAATTGTGTCTGTCACGCGACGGACCTAGGCCAGGAAAGAGGTACTGCTCCTAGGCTTTGCAGAATACCAGTGGATAGTGAAGGAGGCAATTTTGAAAAAAATGCTTGCGAAATGTGAAGTGATTGTCCAAATATCTTGCAGTTTGTTCAGTAATGTTTCCTTGTCTGTTGTGAATTACTTACGTTGATCCTAGAGCATGACCTCTGATTTACCAATTACTGTCTCATATTTAGACAAGCGATGTGGACAAGAACTTCTTTAAACAGGTAATTTATCCAGCATAGATCATTCAACTTCTCTTCCCTCTCCAGAGACTCTTTGTCATTTAACAAATAGATTCCAAGTTGCCGTGCGTCTGTTCAGTACTAGATCACAGATGACGTCAAAATGTGGAGGAACAAAAAAGTGGCACACGAGGTGCAGCCGAGTGTGTTACTGATGTTCTTACCACATTTTGACGTCCTCTGTGATCTATTACTGAACAGACGCACGGCAACATGGAATCTATTTGTTTTATATAATAAAGAATTAAAATATATGGGAAAAAAGTTTTAATGATGACGTCATCTATACGTCTGTCCTCCAATTGATCATAAGTGAGAACTAATCAGAATGCGTGCATAACTGAGCTTATTATATAATTCATTATAGATTATGATTTATTAAAAGAGGAGAGAGCTTAAGGCACTTTACAATTTACAGCTAGAAGAGAAAATAACAATTACAGCGACAAAAATCTTTGTCTGTTTGTTTTATTTTTAGCAGGGGCAAGTTCGCTGGTTTACGCGAGGTTTTCACGCCACAGAGTCAAGCCAATATGGGGCGGCGGCAATCCCAGCACTAGAGGGTAATGCGGGCATGCCTTATAAACCATGGAAGAAACACTATAATAGAAACAAGAGGGAGAAGCTCCGTAGGCTTGTGAACAAGTAAAAATCATGTGGATCACAGGCATCATATTTGTAGTAACTCTGTTTTTTACTTGTTGTCGACAATTTTCCCCAGCTATCACCATTAAGAGAGAGCAGAAAAAAAGGAGCAACTTTAATCAACTTTCCTTGATCATTTTGATATCATGTTTAGCCAACGTCTTAACTGGTTTTTGTGACGAGAATACCAAATAAAACGAATAACCGGTAATAAGTCAGCGGTGTTCAGGTTGAAAAGTTTTCTCTAATACATGCCTGACTTACCATCCATAATTTTAATATTTTATTGCACGCAGTTTCTCACAAAATTACTACCGAAACACAAGGTCGTAGTCAGATGAATGGCCAAAGTTGGTTTCCTTCCAGTGGTAATTTACACGATTCTCTTATGTGAAATGATGATGAGAGTCGGATGCAGAGAACGCGGTACTAAAAACAGAGAGAGTAATTAAACAAAATTGCTTTTCATATCCCAAGTGGTCTGTTGGTAGCCTTTTAGTGTTGGGATGAATAAAAGTACCTCTTAAATTTAAAAGAGGACAGGTATTTCCAATAGCGTGAAAGATGTGAAATCCTAATCCCACTAATATACATGAGTTCAATTGTGAGTCATCTGGTCTAGCGGCGAGTCACTTCATAACTGAATCTTACAAAACAAAGTAAAAAGGTAATCTTTGTGCCCGTAAATGTATTAGCGAGTCAACGTTTTAAGTGTGTTGCAGTTGTGAAAGTTTGTGTTAAACCAGGTAGTTATAAATAACTATAATTCGTCATCTAATGTCTTTCCTTTTAATAAGTTAGAAACAAGAATGACTGCTTCTATTTACTGATTGTCCTGTAAAAACTTTGTGTTTCCTGATTATGTTATCAATCGGAAATAGTTTTCATCTTATTTTCAACTTAGGGAACAGAAAAATACGTATCTTATGATGTTGTGTTAGTTTATAATACTTAAACTGATATATGTTCAATTGCTGATCATCTCTTCAACTCTTCTTGACAATTTCTTTTCTGCCTTGGTCAGATATGTCTCTTTTAGGTCGTTTGTGATGTTTTCCGGCAAAATCTCTGGCTTTATCGTCCAAAACATCCAATGCCTTTTTCCAGCTTATAGAAGACACATCGTGTCTCTCTAACCAACATGATTGCGTAACAGAGTTATTTCGTGGTTCAGCCTTTATTTTTGGCAGCTTTGTTTGGCCGCTATTATGTTTTCTGTATTCATTAGAGCCTTTGTCATCCCCGCTGATAGGTGGCAAACTTAAATCAGGTTTGTTTCCTTCCCTGTGTTCAGTGCCATCGTTGACAGAAATATCTGGTAGTTTTAAAACTTGTTGGATTGCGTCGTTCTCTTCATTGTACATGAAGTGTCCTGGAATCTCATTTAGTTCATCACCAAAACCATCATTGACACTAGTCTCGGTATCCAAGGAAATTTTACCAAGTTTCCGTCGGTATTTGCTTCGTCCGACCTTTCGGGACTGAAGAGTCTTCATCATGTGTGCACTAAAAAACTGGCAGTGTACAGCTGAAAGTCATTTGCGCTATAAATATTTCTGAAACAATTTTCCGTAGCAAAGCGTCACTTCTTAGTCCTAGGACCAGATTTCACATCGTGGACAATATGATGAAGTCAAGATGTACATGTAATCTTTTGTTTTAGTATCAAGGATATCAGGCCTCTTCTCTGCTGAAGAGACCTCCCATAACTTGTGCGCGAAAAATCTTCGGAATTACATAGAGCCAAACTATCGGTTTACCCAAATGAGACAGTTGAATGCGTCATCCTGAATAAATCTTTTCCGTTTTACTTAAGTTAAAATTACTTGGTTTTACTTCAGGTGCCCTCTTGGGACCTAAAGGAACAAATTAGGCTGTAATAAAAACGTGTGATGGTTAATTCCTATTTCCGTCACTAATCCATCAACAAAGAACTGTTTTCGGAGAGCCGGAGACAAACAAACTCTTTCACCTTTATAAGCTTCTTCCTTGTGAAGAATACTCATCCTAAGTTTGAATTTTGACGAACTTGGTGAATTTTGTACCGTGCCTCTGTTGCCTCTGTTGAAAACTTTTACCTGAAATATAACCATGTCACGGTGTAGTGTGTACACATTTGGCAAACAATTACTCAAACTTGGGTTGTCTGATTAGAAATAGGAAGAAGAAAGCGAGATTGGGATGAAAAATTCTCTTAAGTGCACATGTATTCTCTGGCTCATTAACTGGTATGTCAAAAAAATTACCTTCGTCGAAGTCGTAAAGAGAGCAATTATTGTTACTTGGTTATCTGTCAAACGCAATCAACCAGTCGCAGTGGCAAAGAATAATAGAGTCAATTTTGCCAATCAGTGCCTATCACTAAAGCAAACTAAGATGGTTAAAATTCAAGGAGGGATTCATTAAAAGTAATCCTGGAAATGTTTCCTGTTTTCGGATAGGTCAGTTTTGTGTGATTGCCTTCGGTTACAGGCGCAACCTTGGCAGCTAAGCGTGAATTACACTTTACTAAATTTATGGCAAAATGAAAACAAATTTAAAACAATTGAGTAAACAAGTTCTCCGCAAGTACGGCTTCGTGAACTTCTGAAACTCCGAACGCGATGTCAAGGAGGAATCAATTGACTCCATTAACCATCAGCTGGTGAAGAACAAGCTTTCCCGATTGCGGACCCATTCTGTGCGTACTTCATTGTGTTTACAAAGAAAACGACTTTTACACTGGGCTACCGGAATATCAGCTAGATCTCTAAAACTGGTGGTCGAACATCATGGTGACCCACCCGCTGATTTATTTTGGTTTTTCTTTTTCCTTCTTTTTTTTTTTTTTTTTCGTAAATTTTCATCCTTTCCAGTTGCTAGATTAACTACAATACCCATCGTTAATAACCCCATTTTTAATTCAGGCGTGCATCGTTTTTCCATATCGTCCACCCTGAAGAGGAAGAAAAGCTTCCACAATGAGTAGCTTTCTTCAACACTGATGCGAGTATTATAACGCTCTAACAAAGCGTAATAGATCCCCACAACAGCGGCTAACTTTCTGAAAGCGAATTCAAAACGGGTGCGAGAAATTACTTGTTCAGGCCTGGCATTGGGGGCAGGTTTTCAACATCTGGGCAGCACAACGCTTTTGAGTTTCTGAGGCGTCATCACCGTAAAACGTGGTGGTTGCAGCACAGGCCTCCTCTTTTCGTCTCTAATGTTTAAAGTAAAATGCCTTTATCGGCATCTCACGGTCAGAGGGTGAAACCCTCACTTCGGAGTTGCTTCCAAAATGTTTCTTGGTCTGATTTGGAACGAGAACCTACAAACCTATTGGAAAATGGAAATATTGGCAGGACAAAGGTAGGTTGACTAGAGACCGGTAAATTGAGGACAAATGAACAAATGGCCTGTTAAGAATGCTTGTTTACATGCACACATGTTCTTTGCTCCTACTCGCCAACAGAATACCTAAATCGATAGCCCACAGAAAAAAAATGACGCCACCTAACTAACCATGTATTTGATGATAATTTAGCTCCAGACCTATTACATACTACAATTTTTATGATAAAAAATCACAACAAGAGAATGCCTTCCTATTTGATACATTTTCTAGGACAATAGTTAACATCCACAATTATAATATAAGAAATGGAAAACATCAATTGTATTACATTGTACTTTCCTTATGCAAGTATTAGCTAATGTATAGATTTAACCAAGCCTAAAACCGGAGCTCGCATTTTTTTCCCCGTACGTCTCAAGGGCACAACGCCTTGCCCCAGCCAAGACTAGAACCCGGGTCGTCCCACTCGGAGCCCAGTGCACTGACCACTGGACAACTAAACAAAGCCGTGGCGTTGGCGTGCCCGCGGTACAGTTGACCACGCATGTAAAAAGTAGCACCTTGTGCGGTCGTACATCCAAATTTTTTCGGCTTGATGGGTTACTACTATTTTGTATAATTATGGGGCTACGCTCTACGAGCTCCGCTATCAATAGTATATTTAACGAACTGTAAGGGAACAAATGCATGGAATTCCCTCAGCAGGAAATAGATACAACCTTAATGTAACTTTGAGGAAACGTATAAATTCAAATATCAAACAATTTCTACTGCTACATTATTTTATCAGATAACACTGTTTCTAAGATTTTTTGTGCCTCTAACTCAACAATAAACCTTCTGCTTTAAGCTTGATATAAATATTATCCTTCTTTCTATTGTCCATTATCTCCCTAATATTATAAAAGTGTGATTTATTTTGTCACTTAAAGCTTGATTCATAAATCAACCTTATCTTCAATACCACTACTTTAACAAGAAAATTGGTGTGTTAAAAACATTTTTTTAAATGATTTAGGGAACTGGAGACTGGAGACCTTTTCAACTAAATTTCAATTGTTTTCTTTCATTGAAAATCATCCAAATTCACACAATCTTATCTAAGAGAGATAAAGTGAAATGTATGGGAGATCAAGAGATTTGTTCCATATTCAAAGAAAAGTGGGGTTTAAAACACACCTACATGAACTTAAATGTTCCATATTAGCCTCTGAGCCTTTTAAGAATTTAAGAAAACTGTGCACCATAGGCTGGTGGGTCATAAGGTGGAGGAGCATTTTGCTGAAGAAAGCCATATGAAGGAGAAGGCTGTGCAAATGGTTGAGAATACCCCTGAAAGTATGGTGGTGCTGGTGCTGATGACTGTACAGCTGTTGGGTCAAAAGTGAAGAATAAGCTGTCCACATCTATTGGATAATCAGGAGCTTTGTCGCGGTGGACATACTTTGCTGACACATCTGCTGATGTGACAAGCTTCCAATGGTGGTTTGCCAGTACATGGACCAAGTGGCATATCAGACTTCTGCCATGGATTCCATCATGTCCACTAATTCCATCTCCCCAAGGATTACCCAGTAGTTTAAATTCAAGACTATTTCCATAGCGCTGCACTCTCTGAATACCAAGGGCGTACTGTGCATAAATCACATCTTGACATTTCTAAACATCAACATGGAAAGAAAGTTATTAAAGCATTATTTTGTGATGTTTAACAGTTTTTCAATCATGTTTGAATTGGGCTTCCATAGGAAATAAAAAAAGGAAAGAAAGTGAAGTGAAGCTATCTGTCTTTATTGTAGTCTTATACACTTACAGGATCATTACTGCACTTTTGAAATGCAAAGGAGTTTTCCCCGTAAATACAAAAGTCTTCTCGAAGATACAAGAGACACTATGAGAGTCCTAAGAGCAAACTCTTTCAAGTGAATCTTTTATTGAGCAGTCTTACTGATTTAGTAAGCCACCTATGGAGTTTGAAGCACTCAAAGGATCATCTATAACTGCCAGAACTGATACTGTCAAATATTTTAACATTATGAAAAACTGTACCCAATTAACACAGAAGTGAAAATAGTATGTAGATAGCTATGCGGAGACTGTTGTTATCTTGACAATTGATGATTGTGATATCCTAGACAAGACTACTAACTAAACGGGAAATGTAGAGAACGATTCGATGGTGAAAATAAAGGTGAGAGAAGACATAAGATCACACTATGCAAAGTAAAGCCTTAGCCCTATGTCAAGTAGGGCTAACACTGGAAATGAAAGCTTTTAAACTCTTTACAGAGGCTAATTTACGTTCTCAATTCAATTGATAATATTTTAATAGCTTTGTTGTTGGGCACTGGCAGACTACTGCCAGATACATTTATTTCTGCAAACCAAGTTTAATTACATGGAGAAGCCTGAGTGCACACAGTAACGCATCTAGTTGTACCAATAAAAAAGAGAAAATCATCCACAACCTGCAGATCATGTTGTAATATTACTTAATGTAAAGCTATACCATATCTACTTAACAGAACTATTTCTCCTGTGTTTTTATTTTGGATCAAGTTTTTGTTTATGGGCAGGAGGGAAGAGTTGGGCTCATCACAAAGAGGAGATTAATGATAGACTCTCAAAGTGCTAAATGGGGAAGGGCTTGCAAGAGAGGTTGAAACAAGTCTTCTAAAAAATGATTTGCATTATTTATGCTCTTACCTTTGCAATGTCTTCAGGTGCATTTATTAGTCGCAGTTTGTCTGTCTCATTCAAACTTATACAGAAAACTGGAGCCTGCCTTGGCTGTGACTGTCTGAAAAGAAGGGAACTCTTATCTGACAATTTCCTTGAGCTGTCAATACTAGTGACAATGCTCCATCCATATGCCTGCATTGCTTCAATTATTTTCAGTATTAGATACCTCGAAATTACTGCCTCTTCACCTGAAGCCCACCAAGGGTTTCCACGCAGCTTAAACTGCCAGCTCAAAGAGTAGCGTGACTCTTCCTGAATACCTCTTGGCCAGTTGGTTTGGATGACATCACGTACAGCAGAAGTCAAGCTGTCTGGAATTCCAATCAACCTCAAGGTGTCGTACTTGTTGAGGCTTATGGTGAAGTGTGGTGGGCAGGGCTGCCCTAAGGCAATGCTTGGGTCGTGTTCAAAGAAGAAGGTGTTGGTACCACTTTTAAGGTTGGAATTTCCGTACAATCTCCATTGCCTCACATACAGATCAGTGACAAGCATTTGCAGAAGCACTCTTGAATGAACTGTTTCCTCTCCGTCTGGATGCCAAGGCGTTCCTTTCAACTTGATAAATAACACAAAATTCTCATACGACCACCTTTGGATTCCAAATGGCCATGATTTGTCGACTATGTCTTTGAAAGTTTGATGGAGTTCGGCAGGTGCATTGAGTATCATTAAAGTATCAGTGCTGCTGAGGCCCACAACCACGAATGGCTGGGAGGACAACAGTGTAATCGATATTTTCTTAAAGATCCACGTAGTAAGATCTGTTGTTCTGGTCAAGTCACTAGAAGCCAGCAGCTTCCATCCATCACAATATAGTCTGTGAAGGACAGCACCAGCCATTGTCCGGGAAAGTACGGCATCGCCGGATGAAATATTCAGAGAAAATGGATATCCATTCAACTTGAATTCATGAGCTCCATTAAGAAGGAATGATTCTCTTTGGATTCCTCGAAGCCATGTTTCTTGGATGGTTTGACGGAGGATGCTAATTTCGCGATCTGTACCATGAATGACACGAATTTTATCGGGGTGGCGAATAGCTATGCACATATATTCAAAACCAAGAGGACGGGGAGGTAAGTTAGATTGAGAACCTCCCATTTTCAGCTCTGACAAGACTTCCACTATGATATATTTTTCCGCATCAGCAGCCGATCTGCCAGGCGGTTCCAACACTCTCGTCCCCAGATCATCTCAGTTTGGGTCCAACTAGGCTGTGTGAGTTCCCAAGGAATCTTTCGCGACATCAAAGATTGTCAAATCAGCTCTACAGCCTCTTAAAAACACAAATGACTTAAATGTGCCTGTTACTAAAAACTGGGGTCGGTGAGGGCTTCAAACTTTACGGAAATGTGAATCTCGATAGGCTTTTTGCATTTTAGTTCACCGAACTTGTTTCTGAATTACATGCGAATGAAGCTGAAATCGTGAGTGCTTTAGAAAGTTATATAGTTGCTATGGCAACTTCATTTGTTAAAAAAAAAACAATCATAGCAAGTTCAGAAGTGACTGTGTATTATTTGGTACTACATTCCAGGATGCAAATTAAAGAAAAAATAGACTAGAAGCTACCATTAATCAAAGAGTTGGTATTTGAAAATATCGAAGGACATTTTGTGCCACCTTAAATGACATAGCAGCACTTCTGTATCGACTTCAGATGCAAATAGCAAATGGCAAGTGCAAGAGAGCCCCCTTGATTCCTGCTATTTTCTCAAACTTCCTGTTTGATATATGTTTAAAGAGCCAAATAATGAAAAAATGTACCCAAATAGGCGATGATGCTCACATTGGAGTAAACGAGTGATACTATTGCATATCGAATCACAGTAGTAACTCATTTCTGTAAAGGGCTTCCAACGAGTTGAAAATATGGGCACTGAGATCGTGTTGGAGTTCACATGGCACATATAACAAAATATACGGATATTTCTTAGAAGCTTAAACGTTGCTTTGTTAATTGCGTATAGGTTCAAGGGACGATTTGAATTTGAATGAATGAAGACAACCCTTAGTGCTTAAAGTAAGGAGACTCAGTCTAGTTAGTAACGGTGTCCGTCATCGAGTCCTATCGTCACTTTCTCTCCAATTTGCAAAAGTCAAAACATAACGGCGAAAATCCAAGAATGTATGAAGCTAGGAATATAAAGATGTAATAAGCATACGCATAAAATCGTATCCTGATTTCTTCCCTTTCAGATAGTTACTTTGATTCTATCCGTTTATGTTTTAGCTTGGTAAAGAGAGTTTTCAAGTTTTTTTTCTTACTTCTAGATTGACTAGTTCAGTTAAAAAACTGAACATTAAGTAACGCTACGATCATCGTACAGGAAATTTTTCTATACGCTCGAGACGAAGAAGAGGAAGACACTTACATCAAGAGTAATAAAAATTGAGAAAATTAAGAAAAATCTAAGAGAAATGTTAGCTATGATGCAGCCTTTTCTTTCCTGATTAGATATTATTACTGCACTTCAGAAGGTTCCTTTTCAAAAGCACACATAATCGAACTAAGTAACACAAGTAATATATAGCCTCAAGCTTAATGAAGATTGCTTTATAAGGAGGTGACTACCATAAGAGAGAAACAAAATATTAGATCTCTACACAACGAGAAAGTACTCTGAAAATTTTGCATTATTGACTGGATCATATATTTTGAATTAGCCGCGTATCATACACAGCGAGAATATATTCATTTTTTTACATAATCAGAATCATATTATAATGCGACGGAGGCTTTTTGACTAAGACTCATGAGATTATCTCGATTAGAAAAACTCATTGATGCATTAATGATCTCGCGTTTGACAGAGTCGAGAATTTCACATTGCTTCCACAGCAGCTCAGGTAATATCTAAGGCGTCTCTCCCTGTTTTACAACGAAGCTTGTTATTTCTTTCCTTCGCGATTTCCATGACAGTTGACTGAGTAATGTCATAAACAGTTTAAAATAATACATATACGTGCAAATTTCAAGCGAGTAATAAATTTCTGATTTACAGCACCTTATTCTGTTGCGAAACTGAGTTTAGTAATTGATTATACGACAACATCCATTGACTATGTTAGTATAATTACTCAATTGGAACTAGATGCAATTCATAAATTTTCATTTGTCCCTACTTCGATTTTGAAAATTAGTAATCATTACTGTGCTTGATGGGATCATAACTAGACTGTGGTACAATTCTCGACCGAAAAGAGCGCATCTATCTAATCACCTAAGTAATTTACTTGATCCTCACTGAATAATATATCACTGACACCACACAACGTCAGGATTCTAGAAAATCTCTTATCATAGATTTCATTCCTGTCTCAACTTTTAGCTGCTGGAAAACCTGTATTTTCCAGCTCACTGTACAAGTCAGATCTGGTCACAGATAGCGAACGGGTCCACGTTTTAAAGTCTGGTATCGTAAGTCTGGTTATCACGCACATCGTTGTCAATGCCATTTTGTTGTGAACCGTTTATTTCGGTTGGCCCCACAACCGAGTCTGTTTTACTTGCCACGACTGAACTCCTTGTTGTGCTGTCTGAGCGGTGGGCCTTGTTTTCATCTTGTCCAATTGCATCTATGACTTCCAAACAAACTTTGCGTAGAGAATCTCTCCGAAAATTTGGGCTGTTAAAAAAGTAGATGAATGGATTGCAAACTGAATTTAAAAGCCCAAAGCCATAGGTAATAACTCGTACAGTATCGGCTGGATTAGGGAATGGGGCAACTGATCTCTCAATGAAGCCAGTGTATATGACAAACGGCGCCCAACAGAGGAGAAAGCATATAACGACAATTAAAAGCATCTTAGTGACGCGTTTTCTTGTTTTGTCCAGCGATTCTGAAGTAGCCCTGGACAGTGTTCCAGAGCGAGAAATTTTTCTTTCTCGGCTCCACACTGCCTTTCCCACGCGACTGTACAACACAATTATAGTGATTAACTGAATACCGAATCCAAAGATGGAAAGGAACAACAGGTAGATGAAACCGGCTGTTGTGTTGTTAGGAATGGTACGGCAATACCAAAACGTTTCGTTTCCTGATTGGATATCCTCGGTGTCAGCGAAGTAGAACGTGGGAAGGAAAATGCTGCCTCCGTAGATCCATCCCGCACTGATTAGAACTTTAGGGCGGAGCCAAGTTTTCATCGCTTGCAATGGACGAACCAGAGAGTAGTAACGATCAATGCTGATCACAGTTAGTAAACAGATAGAGCTGGATGGCGCGAGAAACTAAAAGAAAAAATGCGCCTGCAATGATTAATAGCGCTTATTTGGTACATCTTTTTGACATCATGTTAATTAAAATTAAAAAGAGAAAAAAGAGGGAGACTGATATTTATTTTGAATCAAATTCTTTAAAGATACTAAAGTTTGCTTTCTGTTATTGTTATAATCGTAAAATTGTTTAGAAGAGTCTGGTGGAGAAAGCATATCTATTCCCTATCTTTATGGCTGGTTAATAATATGACGGTATTTAATTCTTTATGTTTTTTGCTCAACCTATGAGACCATACTAGAACAAGTGGAATGCGAACAATAGTCCCACTAATTTGCGAAAAAGTGGTCTAGTTTAGCGCATATCAATGATCTCTAGTGTAAATGAAAATAGATTCGCGCGCTTTGTCGATAGCAGGGACTATGTCTGATAATTTGTTACCTGAATAATGATTCCATGAATGGGTTTTCCCCGCTGACTCGTTAAATGAATGCTTGTATAACAAGCTAAACCTTGAAAATGTTCTTACCTGGACGTATCGTGCTATCTTACACACCGCACCAGCTCCTGGTTTGTCTTGTTCTGGATAGTAGAAATTGATCCATATAGTCAGTGGTATGCACACTATACATACAAGCAAGTCTGAAATCGCCAGGTGAAGGAGAAACAACTGCACGGCCGACCGCCGACCGCGCCGTCGACTTGAAACAATAATAGAAGCAACTATAGAGTTACCGAATAAACCAACCAGTGAGATGATTCCTTCAAGAAAGAAAAAATAGATCATTTATTAGAGAAGTGTTAACAAAAAGTGCGCGGGTCACATAAAAAGGGTTATCAGTCGCACAAGTTGTCTGAGGAAAATTTTAAAACGCTATAGTTTAGGTATAACCTGTACATTAATTTCCATAACAGCAGCAGTGAGAAAGTGGTTTGAACCCTCGGAGTTACAGTTGATCATTTCCTGAAAAGACCTTACCTTTGACTATGACTGTTTGTGTGGACAACCTGAGCTGCTCAGCTTGTCGAAACGTCAGTCACCCTTCCATGATCAGACTACACAATCCCAAGCTCGTAACATCTTTCCTTAACAGCATTGGTCTATGCAACGCTTACCTGTACTTTTTTTTCATTCCAAATTGCTCTTAAAGTCCTTTGACTAGCAATAAAAATTGACTAAATTTTTGTGAAACTTGTGATAAGTAAATATAGTGCTGCGAGTTGCATAGGATCACACGAGGATCCACACATGAAGGACAACATGAGCTGTGTACATGTTGGGATTTTTATACATTGATAGGAAATTTATGATAGTCCGGAGAAAAATTGTTGTACCAGTAAGGTTTTGGAATCATTGCCCAGAGATCGGTAAACCAACATACCTATTTTTTTCAGGAATAGAATGTTAGGAGTCAGAGACCAGTGCGATGTGTTGAAATGACCTTACTATAGACTGCTGTTTTGAGGGCTTCGAGAGTCTACACGAGCTAAAACAAAAAAATTTTCTAACGCTTCTTTGTGGAAATGAAAAGTAGGTAGGGGACAAAGCTGAAAAAAATGGCTACCGGAGACCAAAATTTGCACAGCAGCTGTTCAAAGAGGGAGATAGAGCACAGGATCAGTAGAAACATGTGCATGATGAAATAATTGCAAGGATTACAAGATGATTATGGATATAACATGAGTGTGTGGATCTTTGTTTCTTTTCTCAGCCAATCTTGACATATGAGAGCGTGAATCTGGACAATCTATTATATTTGCATATCTTACCAATCATTTTGGTGTGTAATATCACTGAGTATTTTTGCGAGTTGAGCCGCGTATTTTGATGAGCCCGTAGGACGAGTCAAAATACAAACAAGGAGTAAATGATTCCATGATATTAACGTTGTCATAAATTTTATCGAAACTTTATTGCGTGTTGTAAGTTATCGACATCGTATACAAACTTAAGATGATAAGGGAATTAACGACGTCGTTGACTCGACGACGTTAATAACAATTTGACGACCGTATTAAAGATGATATTACCAAATTCATAGCTTAATATCCACATCGAGAGTTGACGTCATTAAAACATTTAACGTCATTAGAACCTGACGACTACATAAAGGAAATTATATTGTTAACGCATATAGCGACGTCATAAGCTTAACTTAGAAAGACCTGTAGGGGCTCAAAAAGGCTATAGAGACGATTAGGAAAAAAGCATTCATGATTATTATTCTTCAATTCTTGAAATCGACCCGAATGATGGCTGGAGAGTGATTGCTGACTTTAAGTGACGCCTCACGACATTTCGAAGAGTCTTCGACCCGTTAAACAATGTGAGACACTCGGAAGAAATGTGAGATAAATATCTTACCGTCCTTTTCCTCCGTTTGTGCTATAATTTTAGGATTCGACTTGATGTATTTGGGCCACAAGTCAATATGAAAAAACTCGGTCCCTAATTTACGATGCGGATCTCAAACTCGGCGCGTAAGAGGTATAGACACTTACAATGGATTTAATTGGATTAATTTTTTTTAAATTTTAAGCTGAAAGGATCACCATGGTGAAGCGTGGCGAAGCCATAGACACATCGAAAATTCATCTTGAGATTCTGGAGGTGTTGCAATCTTGTTAAGGCAAGCTCTCAGTTCTTCTATCTTAAACTGTTCTCTACCAGCTGAAGGACACTAAATTTGATTCAAAAAAGGAAGCGAAGCCAAAATGTCTCATACCTTAGTCCGATTTTACAAACATAATGGAACACCTGCGTTAGAATCCACTCAGTTTTTTTATGATGTTATAAACCTCTGAATATTGCTAACGGTTATCCCCTCAGCAGGGATATGGAGGTTTTTCTTTAGAACAGTGAGATATACCCTGAAAAGGGGGTTAATCTTTTCTTAATCAAGCTTAATTAGCAGGGCTATAATCTGTCTAGATTACTCCTACTCTCCCCAGCAGGCAGAAATCCTCTAGATGTCTTCGCAAATAAATTAAATTTCCTTGGAAAGATTATGCTCCTTAAGGCGAAATAGATATCTCAGAGACAGTAAGTCTCTGGATTCGGACTTCACATTGTCGTTAATCAGCGAAAATGAAAGGTTTCAATTCGTGCTGAAAATATTTGGAATACTCAAACGGAAATTCATGTAGATTTATCTTATAAGCAGATAATACTCAGTTTTCATCGTATAGAATCTAGCGAAATCACAAACAGAATAGTGAAGTTTTGTTTGTGATAATAAGTTTTGCATTGAGAGCTTTGTATGAGCAGTTAGCAAGGTATATATATATATTTATATATATATATATAATATATATATATATATATATATATATAATTGTGGGAAATTGTAGCAAATGCTGTTGGAAAGTGCTCGATATACATGAGTGTAGAGCGAAATACAGTTCGAAACGACTAAAATGAAACACGCATGATTCCCTGTAACTCTGAGTTTCGTGCTTACGCACTCGTCAGACAGATTTAAATCTGTCTGACGAGTGCGTAAGCACGAAACTCAGAGTTACAGAGAATCGTGCGTGTTTCATTTTACTCATTTCGAACTATATATATATATATATTTTTTTTTTTTGGCTTGGATACCACCTCTTACCTAGTAAAATCAGGGCGACGATAAACTCACTGCCATTTATCGACCAAACTTTATAAACTGTATTGACTGTTCTGTTCGATTCAGCCATGGTAATCTTCACTTGGAGAAAAACCTTAAAAAAGATAACCTTTTACTTCTTGATTATGCTGAAAGATAAGAGGATTTAAATTCATTGTAGCTGTGACTCCATTGCGTGAGTGCTGCCAAGTGAAAGATATCAAATGGTTCATGCACCACAGCACTCACGCATACGGTGTTTTTTGAGGACGATTAACTAAAAATTGCCCTAGCCTACTGGGTTTATTCACAGCTACATCCTGTACCGACAACAGTTTCCTTACGAAACTTTCCGATAGGTCATTCATTCTTAAGATCTAAAAGGTTGGTTCTTGTAAATATAAGTGAAACATATTGGCCGAGATAAGAACACATCACAGATGAACAGAAACCTAACACTGATATGACAAAGTTTTTTTACCTCACGTCGTATCTTAGTCTTCTAGAATGAATACTTTGTCGGTAGAGTCAACTTTGTCATGTAAGGCCTACCTGAAAGTAAGGTAGAAAAATTAAGCAGCCTCAAATCTCCACGACACTTTTCCTTTGTTGATAACTCTAACACACCATCGACTTGTCATGTTTATTTCGAGATGAGTGATCACAACAGAAACGTAGCGGAACCAAAGCCCTGTTGCGAAAACTATGCAAATGAACCAACCACCAGACCATGGTAACTGCCATATTTCGAGCTGAAAATTTAATTAAGTTCGTTAAATCCATTATTTTCATGAGATTTAATGAAAAGCTGCGGGGAAATTCAATATGGTACAGGAAGAGGCCATTTATAAAACTAATGTTTACACAAAAATCTATAGAGAACAATACAATTGCAGAGCGTTCGACGCAATCATACATTGTTCCAAATGACAACCAGAATAGTGAATAGTTCAATGAATGTTTTATATAGTGGAAAATCACTCTCCGAGGAAAATAACAAACCAAAAAAGGCGCAAATACAAATATGGGTAAACTAGCTTGAAATGAAATATAGAATTGTGATTCCGTTTATACCCTCTATAAAGTTTTACACAGTTGTAAAATTATATTCCACCATTAGCAGGACAAAACCACGAAGTATGCACAAGCATGGAGCTAAATGAATAACTACTTACCGGTAGTTGAAATTCAATTTAAAAAAATTCGTTTCCTTGGACAAATTATATCCCAGGAGGATAAATTTGATCTTTCACTTGACATTGAAAATAATTAGGGTCAACTTAGTGATATCTTTAATTTTTTTTATCAACCTTTTAATGAATTAACGCAAATTCAATATGCACGATCATTGCGAAACTAATTGTTTTTAATTAATGAAGAAAATAAGTGATAAAAGCAACAAGAGAAAATATTAAGCTGCAAAAGTGAATGAATACCTCAAGCAGAACAGACTAAATTAAAGAAACAAAAAAAATTTTTGCTCCGGTATGACATAACCTCAATTGGTGAAAAAAAAACTCTTCTCCGGATGACAAACATTGAGGAAAACAATAATGACGAAAACTAAATGAAAAAAAAAATTCAACAGCTTTTAAGATCTCTTTCGTGGAACACTGTTACCCTGTTTTTTAATTCGTCCAAAACATCATAAACTCGGTCAGAATCATGTATCAGGCACATTTAACATAACCCACGAGAATAAACGACGTTGACAGAAATTGCTCATAGACTCTCAAAATCACATTTGAAGAGGACATAATGTATCCTAACCCAATTGTATCAATCGGACACGAAAATGATCATGTTTATGTCGCATTTATTTCGCCTCATTTGGGTTGATCTCACGATTTATAGAATGCGACCTCTCATGGTGCAATGCTCCCTAAACTCAGTTGTTTTGAGGTAAAGCACCTGGCGCAGTTCGCTACAGCCATAGTAGTGTGGGTTTGATAATATATCTTTTCTTCGTCTCCAATGTTAGACCGCTCTTTAAGAGTAAAAATTATTTTATAACTACAGCTTATACTTTGAGGAAGAGCCGTTAAAAAATTCCACAATTTCTCTCATTTAATTCCCATGCAACGGGCAAAACATACTAACGGTGCGAATGCTCTGAGGAGCCATATAATGCTGAAAATTCTTGATCGGAGATTTCAAGTGGACGCTTCTGGCTAACGCTTTAAACACTGAAATAAAAATTTTTAATGCAAAAGATTAACTCTTCTGAAGCCGGATGGTAAAAGATTTGCCCAAGATCCAGCCGGGTCAATTATAGGCCTCCTTAAATTTTCTAGCTTCAGTTCCTACTTGCTTTTCATTATTTGATGAAGAAAGGCTCTTGCACCTGTCTCAAACCAAACGCACTATGTAAGTTTCATTAATTGCGACATATATGTTGCGTTTGGTGTTTAGACAGGTTGAATTTAAACAGTTTAAACTGTTGAAACAGTTGAGTTTAAACTCAGTTATTGACTCACATCCTCGAAATAGGAATCTACAAGATAACTTCTGCAATTTGTTTTGGGAGTTTAATTATTTTATTGGGCTAAATAAAAAGAACCGCAGAGCAGGATCTTGCCTCCGTTATTGGGCGCGACTCTCCGAACAGACTATTTCCCCTTTTTTATGTACGTTTCCATTGGCTTGTGATTACAAAAGATAAAAATAAAAACGTAAGAAGTTACTTCAGTGGTCATTCATCATAGCGATCGAGCTAATTCTTCAATAAAACTTAAACTGCCAGAAAAACGTCTTTTCAGTTTGATTCTTTATCATAAGGTTATAACTGAACCTTTACAATCTTTTGCTTTTATGAAGGATACCACCGTGTCGAGTTGCTTGCTTTGGTTTTTCTTCATGTTTTGTATTATCTTAATCCGTTTTTCGATTTGCTTTTATTTACATTCAATACTCTTCTTGAGAAAAACTTCGTCTCCCCCATCTTTAGGCAGTTTCCTCTTTGTTGTGCGGTACCTTACTTTCCTCAGTTTGCAGAAACGGGTACGAGTAGTAAATCACTAGTCTGGCTCTTTTAAACTGAAACTTCATTTAACTACAGTATTGTGAATCTGGCTAATAAATGTTCAGGTTACATCGTTCAGTGGTTCTCATCTTTTGTTCAAAAACAATTATACCTTGTTCAAACACCACCATTGCCCATCGGAACGTTCCTATTTTACCTGTCAGGGCTTATCCCATGTCAAGTGAACTGACGCGAGCCTTAATTTCGTCGATGGTTCTTCTCCGGGTAATCTTAGGTCTCCCTCGTTTGCTTTACCATCTCTTGTCTAAAATATAGCTTCTTTTGTGTTATTATTCCTTGAATTCGTTGCATCGCAACGCACGTAGTTTTATTAGTGGTGTGTTTTACTACACGACAGCTTGCTAATAGCAGAACCTGCGCTAACAAAAGGAAAAGAAGAAAAAAAGAAACACTCCACGCAGAAAAAAGTAAACTGTTCGTAATATCTTTTAATGCGCATTGCAAAATTTTTGAAGGATAATAAACACAATAGCCTCTATTTGCGCGAAAATAGGTACATGCAAATGTTTGTCCTTGGACATTATCTGTTCCTCGAAGCTTAAAGTTTCCTCGAGCAGCTCGCTCTCGGAAAACTATTCGCATCTTCGTTTCAGAACACTACATGGACTCGGGGAAGTTTATGCAGATTTTCTGAAGTTCAACAAGAAGACGTAAACCTCAGAATACTTAGACGCGCTATTTGCTTTAGGCTCAATGTCAGTTATAGGAAAGACAACTACAGTTACCGAGTACACCTCCGTTACTGATGAAATCGACGTAAATGCGACTGAAAAGGTTATTCAGCAGGTATTGGCTGAGTCGACATTTCGAGCCACCTCTCGTTTTTTTGTTTTTGTTTCTTTTGTTTTGTTTGATTTTTGTTTTATGATGACTAATATATTATCCACTATCACTGGTAAAGAACGCAGATCTCATCGAGATTTTACCCATTTTACCCAATATGCTTCCCTTAAAGATTCATCTCGCACGATCCTAAAATCCTCGTAAATAATGATGATATGATAAAAATATGAGTTGTATATTAAACAACTTACGCGTTCTAGAGGAGTGCTCTGCTTCCTTATGTAAAGCTTTAAGACAGAAAGAAAAGCTCATTGTAACACTAATGAACAGGAGAGAATTTGATTCTCAAGTCTCGTTGCATATTCTTAGGTAAGTTAGGAATGAAGTTAGTAGCCTTCAGTTATGTCAGTTTTGGTAGTAAACTGTAGAACATTTGTAAAGTTGTTCTTGCAAGCTGTGTATAACTAATGTCAAAAAGTAAACAAATACACAAGGAAAAGAGCATCGCAAGCCGGGAAAAATGTTTTACCATACTCTTTAGGGACGGGGCTATCAGCCAGTGTGCATTTGGGGTCTCCTGTTCAGGGAAGTGTGGTGGCTCAAAACGTCGTGTTCTCAGTCCCTGGTTGCCGTATCCGTCCCGTAAGCTAAGTTTGCCCGCCTTCTCTCTCCTCTTCGAGCCAGTGATATAAAAACTACGAAAAAGAAGTGTTTGGGTACTACTAAAATTAGGAATGTGTTTGGAAATTGTTTAAGCTTGTTAGATTATCTTAAAATCCTCGTGAGAGTCTTGTGAGCCTTGGTCTTTTTGTGGTGCATGACCATACATTTATTTTTTTACCTTTAGAGTGATGTGTCCTCGACCGTTGTAATAGGACTTAACTCTCGTGCGATAATCGTCATCGCCAATCGTGTTTGGTTTTGTCCTTGACTTTGCTTAGAGTCCTCGACGGAAAGTTTTATTTAGGTTTCAGTTCTCGCAGATTGATTTTTTTAGTACTTTCTTGTTTGTTTCCAATGTCTTTAGAAATTGTTTGGGTTTGTGTTCTTAAAATATGTGTACTCTGCCAGGGTCAGTCCTGGTGTCTCCGTTTGCACGAGTTTCTCAAGCTAATCTACCCCAAACAGTCCAACAGAAGTAAGTCACGATAAGCAGGGGGTGGGGAAGGGGGAGGGGAAGCCGGGTCATCAGGGTCTGCAGGGACAGTGCTTTCCAGCATTGTGTATTTGGGGTTCCCTTGACTAATTCTGCACAATTCGCAAAACATCCGCTCGTATCATACATTAAACCATCGAGAAAGTTTTATTTATCATACGCGACGTTAAGTCATTTCTAATGCAAACAAAGCGTCAAGCAAAGTCAAAAAGGGCATCCGTAATGAAATTTGAAAAAGTTGAAACACCCGCACTCTTTTTTGAAATATACTTAAAGGCCTCTGTTGATCTGACTATGTGTGCTCCTATCAAAAGGTAAACCAGCTCTTATGCAAATAAGATCATAACTCTTTCAATTGTCTTGCCATTACTTTCCACTAAGAGGGAAAGATTGGGGGAGTGTTTATCAGTGAAAATAGCTGCCTTTTATTTTGTTTTAGCAGTTTCTGTTTTTATTTCATTTTCATTTGAGACCATCGCCATAAAATATATCATTTCCCATCACCTTCCCTTTCATTTAGGTCAGAAAAAGGAGAACAAAACAAAAGGAAGAAGAAAACTGTCGATAAGGTTTATATGTTTACAAACACTCTGGTGAAACGTGCTCGTTTCTAACTGTTTTCCTGACCCAGATATTTGCAGTATAGCAATAAAGGCTAAAAAATCAGGCATAAACTATTTTTATATTTACAAACTCTTGACGATCTTCTCTGAAATTAAATCAAGAACATTTATTTATCTAGAACTACAAAAATTTTGCTGGATTGAAAATAAACTAGAGTTTTAAAAGTGTCATGTTTATGATTTTTCGAGTTCAGTCGTACATCTTTTTCCACTTTCTCAAGAGTTTTACCATTCAATGTGTTGATAATACCATCCTACGCCATGCACAAATTCTGTTTCTGACCAATCTAGGTTTGAAGTAGAATATCATTAAAGCTCCTCGTCTTTTCGGTGGTAGAGGGGCATCTCGTCTTGGCCTGCTACCTCCCCGTTTTTCATCTTTTTCATCTTTTCCAGGACTGTCTCACACAGATTTCCTGTCATTTTTTCCCCAAAGGGTTTTTTCTGGCAGGTTTTTTCTGGTCTCTGTATAACAGTAATAATGTCTTTGTAGGCAGTTGCCCGTCTCCGTTAATCCCGATTTGGTGAAGTTTACATGTTAGTGATGTATACCTATTTTTGAATGTGTAAGGAATTGGCTGTACATTAGGACTGTATATGGTATGTCAGTTGCGAATGCATGTATGTATGCCACGGGCAACATATGCCTCGGGTTGGTTCTCGGCTGCCTTCCTTAAATAAACTTATTTGGTTCACACTACTGTGTTACTTGTTGTGTAGTGGACACTGAATGTTGTTAGAGTTTCGAAATTCTGTTCAGGCGTTGCCATTTTTCTTCCATCATTTATTCTCCCAAAGCTTGCATTAAGGCATCAAAGAGATACATTTTCAGCAGCTTGTTTGTGCACGTTCACAATGTTTGAGCACAAATAAAGGTTATTTGAGTTGTGACATTATGCATCGAATCGAAAATTGCGAGGTTCCACCGTGTCATTACAAGCCGATTTACTTTTTTCAACGTGTTAGTAAAAGCATTGTGGTTATCAATGAAATTATTTCACTGTTTAGTCAAAAGTGCCATGTCGAATGAAAAAAAAAAAATCTTGCTCGTTAAATAGCTTTACGTTCAAAATATCTTAAAAAAATTAAACAAAACGGTTGACAGAAGACCGATCTGAATACAAAGAATTTAAACTCGCACATCCTGTACAGACAATAACAAATTTTCCTATCATAATTTTGTCTCGATGTCTTTCTATTTTCGGACGGATCCAATCACGGACCACTGCGACCACCCACTCTATAGCCCGCAAGCTAAAAAATGCTGCCTTTACGCTATGTCTTGCTTTTCGTGATGGCGTTTGGCCTGAAATGTACAGCCACAGAATCTGTTAAACCCTGCACAGTGTTCCTTGATGGTTTTCAAAGTCCGCATTTCAGAGGCACTTCGGCCTTTAACATTCCTGCCTCAGTAAAGGATTTGTACTGTACCTTTGTCATAAGCGATGCAGCTGGGGAAACACAGAACAAAGAAAGGAGCAAAATCTACTTGTTTACGGCTCAAGGTAATTTTTAGGATCACTTTACGCGTAGCATCTTGAAACAACACAGCCATTTTTCCTCAAATTACAATCCAAAGCGATTACTCAGCGGAGAACACTATGGACTGTATATTTGTCATGGCTTATCGTTCAGAATAAGTCCAATTTTGGTTCTTGACCATCATTGAACGTTCTTGGTCAGCGCCTTAATGTCTTTAGTTTTAACACTAATTTGTTCTCCAGTTAGCCAACTGCATGACGTGAAATAAAAAGGAAAGAGGCTAAAAAGCAGAGGAAACGGTAGAACTTGCTTTCACGATTTTTTTTGTACAATATGCATGTTATGATGATGAAACGTAATCCATTTCCAGTCTTGACAGCTAATACAGAAATAGGGATCTGTACCGACACCAGTAGACATCAGACGCTAGGCTTTCTGTTTAAAGGATACCAGATTTCTCGTGTGAAAAATATATAATACTTCGCGGAAATAATTACCTTTCAGACTACCTCATCTACTTTTTCACCTCAACTCCACCTACTTAGAGGATCAACTGCAACATTTTCAGATACGATTGGAAGTACTACCTCTAAATGACTTCATATAAAGATCAGCGCAGTTTGCAAAATGTTTTTAGAATACCTCTGTATCATTGTCACCTAAGTTAGGGAGTAGTTCACCCTAAAATTACGTTTCACTTCCTGCTGCTTTGATTATTGAATTATTTATTGCGCTGTTCTGTCGGATTTAACACTGTTGTTAATTTGTTGTTATGATAGGCCTTTTGCTCAATTGTGGTAAACTCAGCTATCCCTCCAAACGGTCCGCGCAAACTTTTATAGGTCGGAAAGAAGAATTAGATGGTGCTATTTTTATTCTAGGAACCAAGCGAGGAGTATCAGAACTATTTTCGAAGTAGTGCGTTAAACTAAGTTTGAATGAATGTATCTCTTTCGCAGTTACTCCAATAATCAACGGAGTTGTCTACAATGTAAACTTGTCCAATATTCGGACGGATGATCCCTCCTCGTCAGCAGAAATAAGAGTAATGGCTAAACATTATAGCTTCCAGTCATCCTCACTCTCCAGTGAAAACCTTGTGTTGTATAATCGGAATAGCAAGAATTTTGTTCAGGCTGTTAAAATACGAAGCAAAGGTGATATACCATCGGCCTTCCCCGTTCTCGCTTTGGTGAAAAGGTGGATTCATACTCCGCTTGTAAACCATGGTGTATATCTCAGGCTGCAGCCATTTAACGTGGAGAATTTGGTGTATCACAAACGGGTGACTGAATCTACCGCTGAGAGAAGGAATAATAGACCACTACTAGTGGTACAAACACAGGCCAAACTTCCGGAGATTGATTCAATGTCAACTGGGAATAGGTAACTCAATGTAATACATAGATTTAGCCAAGACTAAAAGCGGTGCTCCAGTGAATTTATTTTCAGCTCCCTACACTTTATTAACACTTAATATTTTTATTTTATTTTTTATTATTTTATTATTTATTTTATTTTATTTATTATTTTATTAACACTTTTTTATAAAATAAAAAAAAATATAAAATAAAATAATAACGGCTTCAAGGGAATTTCGGTGACTAGTCCAGCGGGGAGAAGTGACAAGCCTGGAAACGAGGAACGATATTCTCACAGCTTGCAAAACGATCAACACGCATGCTAGTCAGCGACCTGTATTATTTTCAGGCGTTATTTTCTTTACTGCTTGAGTAGTGTTCTTACTGCGAGGATTGCTTTTACATTCATATCTTTATCCGCAGTTCACACTGCGGGCACCAGTTAAGCCATTACGTATTTAGAAGGGCGAGGAGGAGGTAATGCACAGGTGCAATTACGTACGTAACTTGAATACCCCATAAGTGTGCAGATGATGATCAAGTGCACAAACTCGAGTGCCGAACTTTTTGCCTAGCGTACCGCGGGCTAAGTCTCACACGAGGGCTTCACCTGGGCTGGGAGATGTGAAGGGCGACTTTAAAAGCCGGCTTGGCGGAATAGCGGAAAACACCCCAAATCCTAACACATAGAACGAAGATAATTGCCCCAAATCCTAGAAGATGGAACGGTGGAAAATCACTCCAAGTCCTAAAACACGGAATGATGGAAAATCAACCCAAATCCTAAAACACGGAACGGCGGAAAATTACCCCAAATCCTAAAATACGGGACGGCGGAAAATCACCCCAAATCCTAAAAGGTGGAACTATTTAAGAGTGCACACATCCTGCCTTATATTGTATGTTCATTTGCTACATCATAGCGGTGTTCAGGTCGTGTACTTACGTGAGTGAGACCTTTCCTCACCCTTCTTTTTCCCATCACGAGTTGAACTTCCGCGGAAATTAATCAACACTCAAAAACTTATCTTTTCTCGTGATGTGCAACATCATGTTGTTGGCTGTTTAGTTTGGTAGAGATTATTTTCTGCGGTTGTCGAGGTGTTAAGTATGTCGACAGGCCGAAACATGTATTGCTTTTTTCGTGGTTAGGCTATTTTCGAAGTACGTGACCTTTAGATCTTTGGGCACGAGTATGATGTCTTTATGTGAAACTACTGGAAGCTCTTTGAAAACCTCCCGAAGCTTAGGCTCTTCTCAACAGCCAGTTACTCATCAAAATCTTTTTTTAAGGCTGGTCACTGATGGGTTCTATTGTGTAACAAAAGGCATTATGGTTAGTCGCACTTTGTTATTCTCTTATGTCAAGGATAGATTGGACGCTTGGTGGCGAAGAAATTCCTTAAATTCTTCAAGACAGCCACTTCTCGCGGCCCAGCGTTAATCAAGGCCTCAGACTTATTCATGGACGAAGAAACGCTCGTAATGAAGGGCTCATAACGATGGCCTGCTCCTAGGCTTGTCTGATTTTGAAGGTGGGGCTGAAAGTCGGTCTAGTTTGAGATGCCTGGAAACGTTTTTATGTTGTTCTCACAATTACAAGCAGATGGTTTATGTTGTTTTACTTGATCAATGCAGAAGTGACCAGGAAACGTATCAAAGTCTGTTGTAATGTGGTATGTCAAGTTGGTTTGTTCATGCTGCGCGACTTTTTGCCGGAACAAAACTCTTAGCAAATTTAACATAACAAAAGGTAATGAAAGAGGTTTGCAGCGCGAAAACTCAGATAAGACTCAAATTACCTCCTCCTAGCCTTTTCCCGTTCTTTCTCGGCTTCTTAGTGATTCACTTTCTCTCTGTTGGTAACTTTTTTCGGTCTTTTTTCTAGAGCAACTTGTCTTTCCTTCTCACGTTGCTCTTCGTCACTCTAAGTTCTCTCTGGTTTTCTTTTGCTTTTCTCTTTCCCGTGTTTCTGTATATTAGGTCGATTACCTTCTCACTCTTTCTCGCGTCGTTTGCGCCTCGCTCTACGTTTTGTCTTCTTTTCTCTATTCCTCGCCTCGATTCACGCAAACCCAGTTAGCACAAAGAATCAATCAGTATAATTTCCCGCTCAAAGCCACTGCTTCCGCGGGCTTCATATCAGCTAGCTCACGTGAAACCCTCGTGTCATGCCTAACTTTGTGCCCGAGGTGCTCTGCACTGGGACACAGCACTCGAGTATGCGCACTTCATCAGGTTGCTCATATGTTTACTAGTGCAATCCCATACGGTTTCCTAGTCACACATAAGTGTGTATGCGTATTGACTCCTCCTCTCACTTAGGGGGTTCCCCTTCTGCATATTTGATGCAAATATTTGTGCCCGCAAGTCAACTATTCCCGCATGCTAAAAGAAGCACCTTGCACGGGGTCACATGAAACCACATTTTTTCGGTGGATAGGTAGGCATTTTTGATGAGAATGATGCTTCGCTGCGTGCGCTGCGAGCTCCGCTATGATCGACTATATCTTAGATTACCACAATCATAAGCAACACCACGTCAGTGACATCCAAAACTATGACATAATGATTAATCAACATCACCGATCAGCAATAACAACTTATAACCTGCGTCTTAGTATCGTACGTGGATTTGCGGTGTTCACAAGCGTTGTTGGATAAAGAAGCAGGAGTTTTGTGAATATAATTTTGTCCTGATTTTTGGGCTGTTTTTCTGGTGACCCTCCCAGGGACTTATGCTCGGTTTCTTGCCGTAACCTGGGGTAAGCCATTCTTTGTTGTTTTCCAATCTTGTATTGGATTGGCTTTTCTTCTTGGCTTTTTTGGTTTTGGCGTTTTGTCATCTCACGGGTTTTTGCCGGTTTTTGGTCACCCATCCATTTTTGGGCTTTTTGTTGTTTTTTCGCCATGGTTTTGGATTGCGTTAAGAAGTGTGTAATTCATGCGTCGGAGATGGTTGCAAGTTATGAAAAGGCTCGTGTGACTGCGCTCCTTAGGGAGTGTATTGATTTTGACGGGCTTTCTGCCATTCAGTTTTGTCGCAGGGGCTTGATACGTGTCACCTTCAAGAATGCCTCGGATAAAGATGAATTTGTTCGTAAAGGTTCGTTAACGTTGGATGGGCATGAACTTAGCGTCACCCCTTCAGATATGCCGTATTCTTTGGTTTACGTGCATTATTTTCCTGTCGAAGGTGATGATCCTCTGATTCGTGATGAGCTGGGTAAATACGGTGATTTTATCGGTATTAAGTATCAGAGTTTTTCGGGAATTCCGGGCCTTCTCACTGGGTCACGTATTCTCACGATGGTATTGTCGGATCCAGTTCCTGCTGAGTTTCGTATTGATAACTACCCTGTGCGGGTTTGGTATAAAGGTATTCTTCCGTTTTGTCAGATTTGTAAGATCAGTGGTCATAAGGCGGCGGATTGTCAGTTTAATGGTAAGTGTGGGAGGTGTGGCTCCCCCGACCACAAGGCGCATGCGTGTGTCCGGCCGTGGGGTCAGTCTGCTGCACCAATGGAGGTGGCTGTCCCTGAGGTGGTGCCTGACCCCTCTGGGACTGTTGTGCTTGCTGTCTCTGATAGTTCTGCCGATTCGGATGTGAAGGATGAGGAGGATAAGGATGAGGATGGGGTTGAAGATCCTGTTAGTACCCCTACGGGGGGTTGGTGAAGTGGCGATTCCTGTTCCAGGCCCCTCGGGGCGTGTTTTGGAGCCTACCCCCTCGGTTCCTGTCGCTGAGGTGGTGCAGGCCTCCTCGGGTCCTGTTGTCCCAGTTGTTCCAGTGGCGGTCCCTGGCCCCTCTGGTTCTCCTGTTGGGTCCTCTCAGACTGTCTCTGCAGTTTCTCCTGAAGTGGCCTCTGTCCCCTCGGGCGTTGTCTCTGCCCCCTCGTGTGTTGCTTCGTGTAGGATTTTCACTCCTAATCTTCGTAGGAAGTTTTTTTTGGGGTATCGTGATCAGTTGGCCAGGTGTTCCGGGGATGATGCCTACGTTATTTCGTATAAGGGCAGTAAAGTGCGCGACGATTCCCCTAGCGACGAGGATGATGTTTGTATAACTTTTGAGAGTGGGGCGTACATATCAGTGCACGCGAATCTTGTTTGTATTTCAAAGGCGGATACTAGTGGTGAGGTGTCTGAGGATGAGTTTGCCCGGTTTATTCTCAAGATCAAGGATGATCCTTCCTATCGGATCTCTTTTAGGGGATCTATTGTTGATATGGTTGGTCCTACTGAGCACAGTAATGTTTTGTGTGCGGTGTTTGTGGACCATACTGGTTCGCATTCCCAGAGGCTTCCCGCAAAGTCTTTGTGTGTTAAGAAGATCGCTCTTAATAGTAATAGCTCTAGTGCCAATGTTAATAATAGTGGAATTAGTAATGTTAATAATGTAAATAGGGCTTCGTCCTCTTCTCCTGCGGTTGGTGACGTTGTTGTCACAGTTTCCCGAAACAGCTCTCGTTCTGTGGTCCCTACGGCTGCGGTGCTTGCCGCTGAGTTAATTAAGCGTACTACCCCCACTTCTGTTGTAGGGGTCCCAAAATGTAGAAAGAAATTGTAGTTAATGACTTTTGTAATTGTGTAAGTTTTGTTCTTAGTTAAGAATTTATATTTTTTGGCTCCCGTTAACAATAGTAATAACTCTAGTATTAGCACCAATGTAAATAATAATGTAAATAATATTGTAAATAATAGTGTAACTAAGTTTTTTCTATGTTTTTGTTCTGTGTATCCGTTTTGTTCGTTTGTTTTTTGGAGCGGGCGTGTTCAATTTTTGGTGTGAGTGTGTTCAATGTTTGCGAGGTGGGGTTCGATTCCCCAACGAAGTTGGTGTCTGGTGGCCCTCGGTTTATGGTGGACCAAACCCTAAGGCATTGCACTTTCAGCCATGGGTTGGATTAGGCCTGTAGATCGGCAGGCATTGCACCGCCCTCACGGGAGCCTGGCCGTTCACCTTA